TAATGTGACGGTCAATCCCACTATTCGTTGGTAAACAGTAGCCCAAAAGTTGGCGGTGGGTGGTGATGACTAGCTGCCTTCCCTCTAGTCTTACACTGCTAAATTAGGGACGGCTAGCGCAGATAGCCCTCGTGTAGCTTTGCGCGAAAATTCAAAACAAACAAACACTTTTTAGAATACAAAACAAAACTGGTAAGCTACAGTGCTGCCGATGTCTAAATTTTGTCAGATAAAAAAAGTGGTTGTTGTTATTGTTTGTAATTAAGCACAAAGATACCTGTGCTCTGCCCACCACGGGTATCAAAACCCGATTTATAGCAGTAGAAGTCTATAGACATACTGCTGTGCCACTGGGGGGCAAAAAAAAAATCCTGATAAGATACGGTGTTGCCGATGTCTAAATTTTGTCAGATAAAAAACTGTGCTTTATTTAGACAATAACTATATAGAATTATTATTATTTTTTGTACAATTTATTCTTGATCCTGAATTTTCTGGTAAATATATTTAATTTTGATTACATCAAGTTGTCTCAAAAGTATTTTTCTTTACCTGTTTATACATGTTGAAAGTTTTATTAGCTGCTATTCTTTTACGCTTTTAAAAGTTGTAATTTTGTATATACATATTCTGCATACTAATAATACTGGGGATACTCAAAATCATACTTGCAATGTTATATAGGAATGTTTTCATTTTTAGGCAAAAATACAATGGAATCAATAAAATTGAAACACAAACAGTTTTGTGAGAAGATAAGAATATCAGAACCACATCTTAGAAGTGTTTGTTTGTTTTGAAACTAAAACTGAGACTATTGTTAAGATTGTAGTTTATTGATCGACGCGTGAATCTACTCAATATTCACCTACGTCAGCCTTTTTATTCATTAATTCTACTATAACTGAGAGACGTTTGTATATTTGCCCTCTAATTCTTTCTAAACTTTTGCATTTAAACCTGTCAAATATGGTTTATTCAGTATCAACAGGGACGATTTGGGATGTGAGAAAAAAAAAAGTGTTACTTTAAAATGCATAAATTCATAGCTCCAGCGATTGCTAAATAAATATCAGCCAATGGTGTGGGGTTGGGTGGCCACTAGGGATGTTGATGAGATTTCTCCAGTTTCTTTTTTCATTACATGGGGTATACAACTATAACTACAATCTATGTACTTTCGGCCATTACTAGTATACTGCTCCCACTGGCACAGCGGCATGTCTGTGGATTTACACAGCTAGAAACCGGGTTTCGATACAGATAGCCCTTTGTGTAGCTTTGTGCTTAACTACAAACAAATAAACAAAATACTAGTATACTTAGTACATAACTGGTAAAACATTAATTTTACAATTGAATTTCGTTTTTCAAATCCCGTTAATCATTTGAGGGAAATCTTTTTCGCACATTATTTATACATACTTCCAAGATAGACACATTTATATTCAGTAAAGATTCTGAAGTGACATGTTACTTATTGCTTTTTGATAACAAAACAACAACTAAAATAGAAAATAAAATATTACTTAAATAATCACGCTCTGTGGACATGCATATTTTGTTCTAATGTACTTTCAGTTTTTATACTGAAACTGTCATATTGCAGAAAAAACAAATTAACTTTCATAAACTTCGCACCGTGAATCGCACCGGTATATCTTCTGGTATGATTATGAACTATCTGAACCAATTTTAAGTTGCTGAATACACTGGAAATGTATAGTCGTCACTTGACAGCATATAATGAAAGATTATACTTGTTAAAAAGTTATAAAATTATGGTTGCCGAGAGTTTCGACATACATAACTCATCTATGACACTGAGAAGTGTGTTTATAACATTGGACATCTGTGACACTGAGAAGTAGGTACAACTCCAGACATCTGTGACAGTAAGATGGAGGTATAACTCTAAACATCTGTGATAGTAAGAAATAGGTATAACTCTAAACATCTGTGACACAGAGAAGTGTGTATATACTATAGACATCTGTGACACTGAGAATTAGACTTTTGTGACACTGGGAAGTGTGTATGTAACACTGGACATCTATGACACTGACAAGTAGGTACAACTCCAGACATCTGCGACAGTAAGAAGGAGGTATAACTCTAAATATCTGTGATAGTAAGAAATAGGTATAACTCTAAACATCTGTGACACAGAGAAGTGTGTATTCAACACTAAACATCTGTGACACAGAGAAGTGTGTATATACTATAGACATATGTGACACTGAGAAATAGACTTCTGTGACACTGAGAAGTGTGTATATAACACCAGACATCTGTGACAGTAAGAAGTAGATATAACTCTAAACATCCGTGACTCGGAGAAGTAGGTATAACTCTAAACATCTGCGACACTGAAAAATAGGTATAATACTAGACATCCATAACTCGGGGAAGTAGGTATAATTCTAGATATCTGTGACACTGAGAAATCTTGTATGCATACCTTTTCATATCTGTGACACTGGAAGTTGGATAAGATAATAAAAGGGTTTGATAAGAACAAGTAAATTTGGAGTTATCTCAAACAGAAAACTTTTTTAAACAATTGATTCACAAACCAATTAGTGTTTCGTTATGATATTAGTTAATTTTTTACTGATTTTTCGCTCAAAATAACAAATTTTCAGCTGGTATGGAAAAGTTAAAAGGACAAAGAACCAATCAGCTTTCAATCCTCAAGAATAATAACACAAGTTAAACTTCCCAAAGCAGAAGTTAATGTAGGCTTTATTAACCTAACCTAACCTTCGTAAGTAGCTTCTGTTAGACTTTCGCTATGAACATGATGTACATGTTTCTATAAAACTTAATAACTTCTTATTGCTATACACAGGAATTTCTTACGGAGGGCAACAGATTAAAATTACTTAGAGATTAGCAAGTTGAATTATTTATGGTTTAGTCCAACATCAAAAGAAAAGGATGAAACTCTTATATGATAACTAGTGATTTTTATTTCACTGAATGATAAAAATTCCAAGACAATCCTTCTGTTTCTTATACAGTTATGCGAACGCACAATTAAACAGTTGGAAACTCTCGGAATTTAACATGTTGATTCTTGTAGTTTTACCATGTACAGTAAAAGTTTTTCTGGCTGTTCGAAGCAAATAAAAATAAAAATAAAGTTACCCTAAAAAAAGAAAGAAGTTAAACCCTGAAACAAACACTAATTTAATAGATTTTGTAACATTGTTATATATAATTACCTCCGCCCTATCTTCTCGAAAGCCTTACGGATAAGGCATTTGTGAACGCTGATGCCTGGTTGTCGAAATGTGTGTTAACTAGATACCATAAATATTTTTGTGAAAGTTTTAATACATTTTTGTTGAAGGAAGTAATGTTGAAAGTCGAAGTAAAAGAAGACTTTTATGAATATTTCACGTAATGTTGACATTAATTAAATTATGTCTCAGAAGGCTGATTTTAAGATGAACACGTCTTAGTGTTGGGTGTAACAACCACTGCGTAAATATAATATCATCGCTTCTGCATTGGTAGTTTCTTATCTGTTTTCGATTGTGTTGCTATTACCATGTATATAATCACTCGTCACGTGGTTTATTCAGTACGGGTACTGGTAACAGTTATGAAGAGAATAATATAACTTAAAAGGTCTTTTGTTAAGTAAATTTGTAAAGGTGTTTCTTTGTAGATAAAGCATACTAATAGCTGTCTGTAGTCATTGTGGTATACTATATCAAACAATATCTATAATGTTAATAGATTAGCATTATCAGTTATTCTTTAACGAAAGGTCAACATTAGTTATTTATGTTGCTCTCAAATATGTGTGTTATTATAGATTAATTAAAAAAGGCAAATTCATAAGGTGTAATAATATGCAATATAGCACAGCGTTTGTAACATCAACAATATTTACAAATCTTAATAAATTGTTATATTTCATACTAGCGAAAACCTTGTAACCTTCCTCTCAACTTTGACATGTCTGTAGATATATGTCCCTTTTTAACGTTTGATGGACTCTTACAGCTCTGAACCTACTTAAAAAGCGTTATAAGACCTAATAAACCTGAACCTTCTCGGACTTGATACGTTATATCAAACTTCGAATATCCTTGCGGGTGTACTCTTATAAAAAGCTTGTTAGGTCATAAGAAACTTAACCCTTCTGGAACTGGAAACGTTATATTTAGTGTGACCCACTTTCAAACTTCGAAATGCCCTTACAAATACACTCCTTTAAAAAGTGTTATAGAACCTAATAAACCTGATCCATCTGGAACGTGATACATGATATTTTCTATGGCATGCTCTTATGGATGTACCTCTCAAAAATTATTAATGGCTGCTTATACGCATGTAATTCTTCTCAAACGTTTCGTGTGCCGTGACCCCTCCTTTGAAACTTTCAAATGGCATTTTGAGTTTGTTCTTACTGTGGTCTAATGAGTTATTAAGTTTGTTTGGTGTCTTCAAACTGAGTTACACGACGTGCGACGTATTGGCTAAGCAGCTAGGTCAGAGACTTTAAGGATGAGATATAACCAAGTCCAACTGATATCTGTTGAACAGAGGAAAGAAATCATGTAACAGCCTCTCT